CCTGCCAAAAACATCGTGATGATGTCACCGCCACTTAGTGGTGAATGGCGGTTGTTGTTGTACCTACAAACCTGTACAATACCCAGCACTTGGCTGGGAACTTTATATCAGAAACTTTCCACTCTGTCAACTCTCCATGAGTAACGGGGCACCCTTGGAGAGAGTGAAAGAGTTCCCATGCCTGGCCGGCGTGCTCATGACTGGCTTCAGTTTCGCGGCAGAGGCCTCGCTGAGAATCAGTTGAGCAGCATTATCTTTTCATCGGTTGCGTAATGCTGTGTGGAAGCTATCTGGCCAATCACTCCACACCATGCTCTCCCGGTGTTCTCAGCCACTGTTGTAGCCTCCTCTCTGCTTGTGAAACGTGAACCCCTCCTACAGAACATCTGCGCCGGTTTGAAACATTCAGGCTGACCTGCGTACGATCCATCCTGGGTTTTAACCAGACTGGATTTTGTGAGGAGCTCGCAGATACTTGAAAGATCTGGACAGGGTCCCATTGGTGACTTCCCCCGGCAGGCAAGGGCTGCATTGTTTGGGTCGTGTAGTCCACATGCCCAAACAGCTTTTGTTCAGCCAGATTGACGGAGCTAAACGGGCGTGGCACGGGCTGGAGCAAAGGTGGGTTTGATGTGGTAAGAGAGAATGTGGAGCCGATTGGACTTGCCGATGAAAAACTACCAGCGGTGTCACAGTCTGTGGATGAGGCTTGTTAAAAGAGGAGAACTCGTTGCTTTACCGTCAGTGAATGGAATACGGGGGGGGGGGGGAGGATGTACAGTTAGAACTCCTGTTATCCGTGATGATGTGTGGGAGGGGGGTGGGGATATCGTTGATCCTATTGCGAGGTAGTGCACGCATGTACTGCACTTATCCGTGAGAGAGAAAGAAAAAAACTCAACAACTGTGGATCAGATGAAGACGAGAAGGGGCGAGAATGATGACAGCTGTACGGGGACTCACGCCACGAGCGCGGGGTGCGGAGCAGCATCGCACTAACGACGCAAACAGAATTAGACAAGATTTACACAAGATTTACACAAGATTTACACAAGATTTACACAAGAGCAGTGCATGCTATGTTGTCGATTCAGCAGGCAGCAGCAGTGGAGAAATCCACAAATTTAAATGCAACGTGATTATATTTACGCGATCTAATCCAAAATAACTTCTTTTATCAATAACATTGGTCGTGAAAGACGACGTTTTAAATAATTATAAATGTTTGATAATGTAACATGTACTGGCAACAAAACTGACACCTTTTTGCAAGGAATCATGCTTACATTAACCACAATACTTGCAGTCAAATGCAAACAAAAAACAATACTCTGATAATGTATGCATTGTCCTTGAAACTGATTGGTCCACACCAGAGACAGCTTTCTTTAGAGCCTAGTCTCATATGGTGTTCGACCAGATGACGCCAAAAGGCCTGTGGCCGGCCTGAAGAGTGTGCAGGGCTCCCGTCATAGAATGTGTGATCTCGGGGGGGGGGGGGGTGTGTTACCTCGTCTTTTCGAAACAAGGGCGACCTGTGACCCGTTTCACCTGAATGGCGCTTTCACCAGCGCAGAGCGGTCCAGCTTTGGCGTGCATTTACGCCGCTGCACACTGGACAACTACTTCCGTATCCCGAATCGAACCGTCCATAAACTACCATCTGTTTACATTCTCGCAAACAAATATGTATGCAGCCAGACTTGCATTAGTAGGAGCACGTGGCCGTTTGCCAATGCACCGCCGCAGGCCGCGTTGGCTGAGCGCTGACACGGCACACACAGAGAGAGAGAGAGAGCTGGGAGCCCTCGCCTCTCGCTTGTTGACGAGGCTCGCGGCTCGTTGGTTTCCACCCCGGCGGCCGCCCCGGTCCAACACCAGCGGGGTCGCACACGCCGCCCCCGCTTCGCAACGGGACGTTACATGTGCGCTCGTTGGGTGCAGACGAAGGCGGCCCGGGGGCATTGCCCTTGCTCTGGCCCACACCGCGTGCCGGCCCAGCCTGAGCAACCCGAGCACGAGGTTAGGCCCCCCCCCGCCGCCAAGCAGCTCAAGGGGCGTTTCTGGGCTCATAGAAAATTAAAGGGTCCCTCGATTATCAGCTCGAGGTTCAAACCTTGACAAACCCGACGGGCCAATTGGCAGAACAAGGGCAGCGGCAATGGGAGGATATCCGCCAATACAAACAGATCAACGGGGCAGGTCACATGCCACGTGGAGCAAGAAAAAGATCAATACGCCGTGAGAAAAATTAAAGTTAAAAACCTCCCCACACCCCCAGGGGATAGCGACGAGCCAATTCAACAATGCACGGTCCGACGCCCTCCGATCGCGTCTGAAACTCCCGTTTCTTGTCTCGCTACGGTGCCTAGGAGATGTTAACTACCTCGCCTGGTGTGCAGGAGGTCGTGGATTCGATTCCGACCCTGACGCCTGCTGCTGTGTATGTGGAGTTTGCGTGTCTCTCTCTCATCACCATCACGGTGGCTAGGAGATGTTAACTACTTCGCCTGGTGTGCAGGAGGTCGTGGATTCGATTCCGACCCTGACGCCTGCTGCTGCTGTATATTTGGAGTCTCTCTCTCCGGGTCTTCCGGTCCCCCCACTCCCCCTCACATTTATAATCGACATCCGTTTAGAGCAGGGGTCGGGAACCTTTTTGACTGGGAGAGCCATAAAAGCCAAATATTTCTAAATATATTGCATTGAGAGCCATATTAGAGTATTTGACTGCTATACATTTCTACGTGATGGTAAGCCACTTCGTGAAGCGATCATTTGTGGCCAGGTCGCTTCTGACAAAGAACTGTATGGCTCAGTGAGTCTTCTTACTTGATAAAATAAAATTAAAATGTTAGTTTAGTTTTAATTGACCTCCACAGTTCATCTCTGTCCTCCCTCTCGGGATTCGATTGACAGTGTGGGTAGACTCCCTCCCTCCCCCCACCCCAAATGATATCTGCTTCGGGCCCCCAATGTGCCAGCACCTCCACTGTGAATCATCATCAGCCATGGTCAATCCACTGCTGGATGAGCGCCACCTCCTCTCACAACCCTGACGATGCGACGGCGCAATTCGGCGCCCGCAAGGGGAGCGACGTCGTCACGACCGACTGGTGGGACGCCCCGGTCCACCACCACGCGCTCCACTCCTCGGGCCGCCGCTGCCACGTCTTGTGTTCTTGGCCGGTCCGCCGTCGTGATCCCCGTCTGGAAAGCAAACAAACCCTTGCCCGCCCGTATCCGAGTGCCGTCGTGGTGATCGAGTGCGCGCACCAGGCCCGGGTTGGGATTGCATTGGCTCGGCCACACGGTGTGTTTACATGCCCGCGGCAATGAGGGTCACTTTCACAGGCAGCCCTGCGGTCAATTGCTCCCTGCCGACTTTGCAAGTGTAGTGTTGTAAAGGGCGGACTTCTAATTTTCTTTATGGCACACACTGTTTATTATCTTAATACACCCTTTACCCTGAGGAGGTACAGCCTCCGGACCTTGCAGCCTGTCTAATCTCCCTGCTATCCCAGCGTATTCTGGCTGGACCTAGGGGATCTCTCCCCGACCACTGGTTACACTGAGCCCTAGCCCTGACAAGGGCTGGAGGGCTTGGTCCAGGGTCCTAGATATCTTCGGCCGACTTGGGTCTTCGTGTAGCAGAACTGGCCAAGAGCTCTCAGCGCTCTGGCTTTTATACCTGTTCGTGGCCAGGTTGACCAATCCCCGGCCACCTTGTGGAACCCTCCGATTGGTCCTTCCCAATCTGGCGTTTGGATCCTACCTCACCCCATTTGACCCTGACCGTTTGATTGAGCGGGAAAACCTTGTTTACGATCCGCTCTCTGAGTTTGCAAACAGCGAGTAGGTAACACCACTACACAAGTGTTCAAAGGAAGAGTCAAAGCAACAGTGCAGAGAGGGCTCGTGTAGAGAACGCACTCGGGCTGTGGGCCCTGGGACACTGGACACGGGAGGAATACGTGTTCATCATCATCATCATCGGTAGCAGGAGCAGCCATGGTCATTCCACTGCTGGATGAACGCCTCCCCAAGCTGCCGCGGTCACCGCCTCTCACGGTGACGGCGACGCGGCGATCCACAGGAACCGATGTCATCGCTCCGCCTCCTCGGTGCACGTCCCTTCGGACGCATTGAGGGAGGCGCCGTCGTAAAGAAAGGCACCCAACTGTTGCGTTTTTATAGAACTCGTTCGAAGACAGACTTGTGTAGCCTCTCGTGGAGATTGTGACGTCTTTACCCTGCATCGCTTCGGATTTTAATCCACTTCTCGATTGAACATCTTGATCCATTATTTGGCAATATAATTACCAATGGCGGGTTTTTTTAATTTGCGGATTATCTATCGCCGTTGTCACGCCGCGCTCGCGAAGTTCCCTCCTGCGAATGGCTGCGCACAAAGTGGACGCTCGTTGACGAGACCGCGGGTGCTCGCGCATTCGTGATGGGGATTTTTGTCGCGTGACAGGCACGGCCGGCGGTGACTCGGAGCGATGGGGGGGGGGGGGGTAAAACACCGGCGACGGTCGATTGAAAGTTTGGGGGGGGGTTTTCGTAATTTACAACAAGAACCCCCTCGAAGACAAGGCCAAGCGGGTGGACTGCCGTCGCCTTGTGATGGAAGATGTTCGGCACTTCGAAGCGAATAAAATATTTACTAAATCACTTAGGGGTGGAGTGGTGGCATAAGTGCGCACGCGTGAGGTGGGATCGATTGCTGCAGACGATGGCGATGATGACCCCGTATAATGGTCTCTTAATTGTCCGGCACTGTCGACTCTTGGTGGCTGGATAACCGTGATGAAGAAAATAACAACAACTCACCACCGGCTGAGTCACTGATGAAACTAATTGCCGACAAATGCAACACAAATTGATGGCGACGACGACTGCGCCAATGCCGTGCGCCGCCGTAAATTTCGTGCAACGCAGCGAGCGGACTAACGCCGTCACTGCCTCGCCCCCCCCCCGCCCCCTGTCGCTTGCAGTGGCGTGCTCCGCGCTGTTGGGTACACCGCCAGCTGCTAGGGGGGTTGGTAGAGATACGGCGGGGAGGAGAGGCACGCGGCCAGAAGATAACGGAGCTTGGAGCCGCCCCACCCCCCCACCACTGCATTATTCCAGGTGAGTGTAAACCGCTTTCCAGCGCGACACACCAACGTAACCGTTCCCCCCGATCGCCGTCGACTGGAGGCGCTCGAAGTAAAGACGTGACCTGACCCCTCGTCCGCTACGACGTTGCTTTGGGAACGTTCATCCCACGGCGTCACCCACCAGGTGAACGTCCATCCCACGGTGTGTCCCGCAAGGTGACCCGAGCCGGCCTCGTCCCGAGTAGTTACGCATGGCCACGGCTGATTTGCGAGCATCGTGCCATCGCATCGTCGTTTATTTTCTGCTGTTTCGTGGATGGTGAGCAGGGGCTTATCGACCTCTCTTTGATGGTGTGGCTTTTATTTATTTTGTAGTTCAGTGAAATGTGACTCGCCTGTTGATCTGCTTGCATCGGCCATTGCCATTGTCCCCACTTTAACCCTGAGTTACGTCGTAGTATTATTATATATTATAATACATATAAAGAACACGTTGCCTGAATCCAAACCGGTGCTAGAAATGACGGGGGGGAGGGGAGTGGGACAACTCTCTGATGGTTAACCCGCGACGCTTCCACCGATGCCGGGTTCAGTACGGCATCGCATTCATTCACCCAAAAAAAATCCACGTCGGCGACAAAAATTAGCCTGCAGCAGAGACACAATGTCACCGTGGCACGAAGGCAGACTTCATTTTCAACATGCCTAGATCCACTTTTTTTTGCGTGTGCTGTGTGTACATGTGTGTGTGTTTGTAAGTGGGGAGCGGTAGTGTAGCAGTTAGCGCGCTGCGCTATGAACCCAGCGACACGAGTTAGATTCCCGCTCATGGCCAACACCAGTGACGATTATCTGAACCGGTCCCGGGCCTCCCCTAGGTCGACTCAGCCTCAAATGAGTACCTGGTGCGGTGTGTAAACATTGCCACTAGGGAGACAAAGGCGGTCGGGCGTGGTGTTGGGCACCCACTGCCTAGTGTGCCGTTCCGGCCTTCATAGGTGCTCGCTAACAGCACTTGCCCCTACAGTCTGTTAAGGCTATACGGGGGATCTTTGTTATCTTTGTGTTTGTAAGACAAAGATCTCCATAGGTGCTCACTCGCTAACAGCACTGCCACCAACAGTCTGTTAAGGCTACACGACACATCTTGTTTTTTTGGAATGTTTGTAAATACGACTGTGGCTGTCATCTGGAAGGTGTGGTAGCTACACGTGGTCTGCATAGTTCAAGTGTTTCAAAACTCCCTTCCCGTGGAGTTTCCAGAAATGCCATACCATAAGGCAGTGGCCATTTGTGCACTCAAAATAATCTGTCCATCCTGTGTGGGATAGAGCGTTTCCCCCTTGCATGTGCGACTTTTCAAGCTCCGGTTTCCTCCCACGTGTACGAACACTCAATGAACGGATGAACAAAAACATCTCAATGTGTAGGGGAAATGGCAGACCCTCGGACAATTGTTGGCACCGGCCCTCCGCCTGGCTGTTGTCTCCCGCTCGCGTGCGCTGCGTCCCATCCCTCGAGTCGTCCTGCCTCTCTTGTCAAGAGTGAGCCACCAGCGCCGTGTGCGCCGCTGCTGTTTTGTAGATGACGAGGTTGTCGCGAGTGCTGGGCGGGTGCAGTGTGCAACCTAATGAAATGATGATGATTGTTATCGTGAAAAAGGCCGGTGCAGCACACAAAGCGCTGGGTGGCCACCACCAAGCCAAGCTGCCTCTCCCGAGTGCCGATGTTAACACACCCACCGCACCACGTGCTCGTTTATGACCTCGAGGAGGCCCAGAACCGGCTGCCTGTGGGGGGAATATTTTTGTTATTAGTTTGTGAGCACGTGTGGTCGCGTGCATTGGAACATTCAAGAATTTCTGATCAATCGGAAGCAGATATGTTGCACACTCCAAATGAAGGACGTGGGCAGGTGCTCCAAATCGAGGGCAAACACATTTATTGTGGTCAATCTGTAAGATGCAACATCACGTGTGTCACACACAGCAATCCTCAACCGAGTCGCCATTAACCACGTGACTGGTTAATCAATAACCCTGCCAGCCCTCCACAGGCCCAACTCAGTCATCGCATGCTGGTGTGCACTGATGTACCGCACAGCATATGATGACCATTGGAACCTCCTTTGCCAGTAGCAAAAATATGCTAATTGTTTTTTTATCCTTTTATGTGGCAACAAAACTGACACCTTTTTTTTACAAGGAGTCATGTTTGCATTGACCACAATACCTTTGGTCGAAATGCAAACAAAAGCATAACTCTGATAATGTATGCATTGCCCTTGAAATTGATTGGTCCACTCCCGAGACAGCTTTCTTAGAGCCCAATCTCACATGGTGTTGGACCAGGACAATGCATACATTATCAGAGTTGTGTTTTTTTTTGCATTCCGACACAGGTATTGTGGTCAATGCAAACATGACTCCTTGTAAAAAAAGGTGTCAGTTTTGTTGCCAGATTAAAGGGTAAAACACCAATTAGCATATAATGACTTTCACAAAACCACACTTTACTCGCTTGCTGCAAGAGGAAATAATTAGAAGAGTGGTCCATTCCTAACGTGCCACAGATATTTGTCACTGATGTTAGCTATAAGTAAGAACTGAGCTGGGATTGCCGGGTTTTTAGCACATTGCACTAACCGCTACACCACCGTTCTGCACACATACACCCAGGTGCACGTGAAGTGTGTCTCTGTACAACACACATGTATATGAGTGAGGAGTGGGGGCAAAGTGGTAAGTGCACTTCACCACAAACGTCGGTCACCTGAGTTTACTTTCCAACCGTGACTAACATCAGTGAACAGCCGCAGACCCAATTCAATAGGAACCACTTCAACAGGGACCACATCAATAAGAACCACTCCAATAGGAACCACTTCAACATGGACCACTTCAATAGGACCACTTCAATAGGAACCACTTCAATAGGGAAGCACTCCAATAGGGGCCTCTCCAATAGGGGCCTCTCCAATAGGGACCACTCCAATAGGAATCACTTCAATAGGGACAACTCCAATAGGAACCACTTAAATAGGGACCACTCCAATAGAAACCACTTCAATAGGGACCACTCCAATAGGGGCCTCTTCAATAGGGACGACTTCAATAGGGACCACTCCAATAGGGACCACTCCAATAGGGACCACTCCAATAGGAACCACTTCAATAAGAACCACTCCAATAGGGGCCTCTCCAATAGGGACCACTCCAATAGGAACCACTTCAATAGGAACCACTCCATTAGGGGCCTCTTCAATAGGGGCCACTTCAATAGGAACCACTTCAATAGGAACCACTTCAATAGGGACCACTACAAGCAGTGGATTGACAAAGGCATGGAAATTGAATGACTATGAAATCGACGCTTAACCAATTGGCCTAGTAAAGTCAACAGGAGCTGCCACTGCAGTTATCAATTAAATCCTTGTCTTTGCCATAGGGACGTGTAATCTACAGCCGTGAAACTCAACTCCAGTACCTGCGAATGCCTCTGAGCTCGTGTGCAGGGTGACAGTGGAGTGGCCGCCACTGATCAGCTCCGCATCGGGTTTCGCGGCTGTGCCATACAGCGCCGCTGGCGTCTGATTCCGGGTCGTTGCCGGGTGCTGTTTCGGCGCGACGTCCGACGTTTCGCTCCATGTGCCGCGTTGGGAGCTTCTTCGAAAGCGGGAGCAGCTTCACGAGGGAGTTTGCAGGCACGGGGAGCGAAACGTCAGTCAAGCGGAACGATCCTGAAAAGCCCAACGGGCAGCACTCGTGTTGTCCGCCAGCCTTCCCACCTTTGCCATTTCACACTGACGGGCAGAAACTCCTGTGCCCACAGGGGTTCATGAGCCGTCAAGAGCGCCCTTGGTCCCATGTTCTGCACTCTATGGCGGCGCGATGCCCCAGTAAAGCCATGGTGTCGCTGGGCTGCAACATGCTCAGACCGGGAAGGAGGATTCTTCAATCAAAACTGGCCCATTGTATGAGTAAGTTTCAACCGCACCTCCGATCGCCACGCTTGGCTTGGTACGGTGCGAGAGAAGTTCAGCATGCGTACGCACACGGGCGGCGACAAAACTCTCCGCCGTGGGTTTCTGGTCGCCGATATTGAGATTCATAAACACATTTCTTGGCACGTAACGATCTGGAGGTTGAAAGTATTATAGCCGACGTGGCATTATACGTTTACGCACGTGGCAATTGAATTTGTGTTGGCTGTGTCGGTCGGGTGGTGGAGGGGTTTCACGACACAAATCTGACCAGATCATTACGCAGCAGCCTAACTGCCCAAAAAATCTCCTTATGAATTTTAAATGACGGTGACCTGGATTGAGTTTGGCTTGTTCGCATGCCCCCTTCCTCCTACGCGAATTGCTCCGGCGAATCAAATTCGGGTTAATCGCGCAGCTTCACGTGGCACTGCACGATGCTCGACGTTTCGCTCGTGGGAGCTTCTTCAGGAGCCAGGCAGTCACCGAGGCTGCGGTGCGCAGGGCCGGAGTAACGCAGCGGATTGAGGGGCCGCAACCAGGAGACCTCAGAGTTTGTGGGTCCCTCCCAGAAGTATGCACACCGCATTTCATCAACGGTTAAACGCAATAATGTGGCACTAGGATAAATCCCCCTGGCGATTTGGCAATCGGAAGACGTTGTACTTGTGTTACGACTGGCTAAGTGCCACGGTTAGACGGCAAGTGTTTTGTACCCAACGGTGAATTGGCTTTTTCCATTCGTGCATCGCGGCTTCATTTGAAAAGGAAGAAAAACCCCGAGCTGAAATAGGCAAAAGTGAATGACGGTGATGAGATTGGCACCGAGGCGTGGGTGGGGATTAATTGGTACAAGGTGGGAATTGAACGAACGTACAAACAGGGCCCCTCCCCGCCGACCAATGAAATGAAGACAGCCGCGGGGCCCCCCTGTCCTCGTGGGTGCCGGCGGCGGTGGTGTTCCACGAGAGGGTGGTGAGCGGCGGCGCGGCGGGCTTGAGGGCGCCGGGTCGATTCCGTCTCCCGGCGAGCGGTTGGGACGACGCTGCGAGTTTCTTAAATACACCCCCCCCCCGCCCCCCCCCCCCCCCACCATTATACACATCACAATACATCATCATCAGCCATGATCGATCCACTGCTGGATGACGCCTCTCGCGATAGCGCGACGTGGCGATTCACAGGAACCGATCTCATAGCTCCGCCCTCCTCGGGTTGGACGTCCCCTCGGACGAGCAGCCGAATCCACCGCTCCGTCTCCCCTGTGGCTGGGCGGCGTCCCCCTCGCTCCCCTGTCACCCCTTGCCACGCTCGTCGTCATTGCTCTCGACCCGTCGGCCATCGGCTCTTCCAGCCGTGACACGTCCGGTCACATTTTGTCACGGCGCGCACGCACGCGCGAAAAAAATAAATGTATTTTCAAGTAAAAATTCAGATAATTCTGCCGTGGTGCCTGTGGGCCAGTTTGTCCTTTGCAAAGAGGCAACGCAGCCTTATTTTGAACGTCGCCTTGACCTCTGTAAGTTGCATTCTTGCGAAAATTTTGCAGATGTTGCGAGGGTGGTGGCTAAGCGAATGGCGGTGAAGCGAAAGCAACACCTCCAGCTCGAAGCGACATGAATCTTGTGCGGTGTCACTTGTGTAAGGTGCGCGGTAATCGCACCTTCTTGTCTTGGCAAGAACAGATGTTGATATCACGGACACTTGATGCTGCCCACGCGATTTAATCATTGAAAGTGACGAGAAATCTGGCGGCAGCAATAACGTTCATATTTTAGTCCTTCGTAGCTGGTGGTCTGGATGAGGCTGAGAGACTGTGTACACGCAACGCCGCACAATCGCCGCATGTAGTCACATCTGCTCGTATGTAGTTTGTTAATAAATAGTCACGGAAAGTATTTATGGAGACTGGCGATGGAGGCTCACTTGCTTCAATGTTTCACCGACCAAATCGCGTGCGGTGGGAAATCTTGTTGGCGGAGGGTGTCAAAAAGTGACGCCGCGGTCGCATTAACAATGAGGCGTCTAAATAGAGAGGTTGCAAATGCACCACTGTGCCGCGCGCCGGCAATGCTGCGCGAGCCAGGGCAACATCCTTCCGGCTGCAAACGACTCAATTAGGAGTATACTTAGCGGCAATCATCGTCCCCGACTGGCAGGCTGATGCCCGCTTGCAGTCCCGGTGCTGAGTGACCTTGCGCCGCACAGAGACAGCTGCCACTGGGGGTGGGGTGCTCTGAGACGCCCGGGCGTATTGGGAAGGTGGTTCCATCAGAAACGAATTGTTGACGACGTTCCTCTTGCAAATGCAGATGTGTGTGGGAGGTGTGTCCATCAGTGTACCCCGCAGTGCGTCCCTCCGTCTCTCTGAGGATTGTTACACACAAACATTACAAAGCCTGAACCATTCGCCAAAGAAATGCTCCCCTCCGCTTACCAAGTGCGCTGCTCACGCATCTCTCTACTTTTACGGCAAGGTTGGCAGCGAACTGCTTTAAAAAGAAAAAACGCATCGATCTGTGCCAAGATAGCGTCAGGCTGTGAGAAAGAACGACGTGCAGTCCTGCGATGACTGGCTGCTGCATTCCTATTGTTCTTGTTGTTTGATATTTTTAATAAGTGTAGCTGCTCGCGTGGCTATATCGCGCTTACGCAGCTCACGGCGAGCGCCCGAGATGATATCGCGTGGTGCACGGACACAATCTACGGGAGAACTGCAGCAACAGCAGCATCAGTAGCGCCACCGCCGCCTTCGAGTTCCCCCCCCCCCCCCCCCCCCCGCTAAGACGCGATTCTCCGCAGAAGAGATCCGGCCCGCTGTCCTACGCCGGCCGGATTCGTGGCAATTCCCCCCCACAGACTTCCAAGCCGTCGAGTTGACGGCAGCGGTTCGCCTACCGACGGCGGGTGGACCGTGCTGCTGTCGGGATGGATGAGGAGGGGTGGACGCAGGGGGGAGGGAGGATTAAGAAACTCGCACCGGTGATTCGACCGCCGCGCCCGCGAGGTCGAACCAAAACGGACCGGATCGGATCGGACCGGCGACCTTGGGGATTGCGAATCGGGCGTGGGGCCACCCCGTGAACCCCGCTGCGGCACCGCGCCGCTCGGAGCGCCGCGTGTCCCCGCCGTGCTGCCACGGTGCCGGTGGCTTGGGGTCCCAACTCCTCCTGTGCCTGTGCACCTTTCCCACTCTGGTGTCGTGGGTGAGCTGTCGTGGGTGAGCTGTCGTGGGTGAGCTGTCGTGGGTGAGTTGTCGTGGGTGAGCTGTCGTGGGTGAGTTGTCGTGGGTGAGTTGTCGTGGGTGAGCTGTCGTGGGTGAGCTGTCGTGGGTGAGTTGTCGTGGGTGAGCTGTGCTGGGTGAGCTGTCGCTGTCTCACACCGCGTCGGGGTCGTGATCTTCTCGCGAGGCCTGCGAATGTTTGCGTGGCGGCGATGCTGTGGGGTGGGGGGGACAACACACAACGCGCTTTATTAATTTAAAGAGGCCTGCATGGGTCTTTGGTGATTTGACACTCGATGGAAAATATTGTTGTACTCATGCGTTTTAATCCATTCGTTCACAGGGTGACCGAAAGTTGTGTGTGTAGATTAGGGAGCGGTGGTGCAGCGGTTAGCGCTGCGCTAGGAACCCGGCGACCCGGGTTTGATTCCCTGCTCACAGCCAACAGCAGTGACGATTATCTGAAACGGCCCTGGGCCTCCCTAGGTCGACTTAGCCTCAAATAAGTACCTCGCCACTGGGGAGACAAAGGCGGCCGGAAGTGGTGTTGGCCACTCACCCCCTCGTGTGCCGTGCCGGTCTTTATAGGTGCTCGCTAACAGCACTTGCCCCTACAGTCTGTTAAGGCTACACAGGGGATCTCTGTCTTTGTAGACTGAGTGAGTGAGTGAGCAAGTGAGTGAATTCATGAGCGAATGGGTGAACGAGTCAATAAATGAATGAGCGAGCGAGTGAATGGGTGAACGAAAGAGGGTAAGTGCGTGTCCAGAGCCATACAAGTGAGTGAGTGAGAGCGAAAGACTAACAGTGGGTGAAAGGGTGAGTTGGAGAGCGGAGTGAGTGACTATGTCGATGAGTGAGATGGGCGAGCGAGTTCGAGTCAGCGCGTGGGGCGGAGAGCGAGTGGGAGAGTGCGAGTGAGTGAGTGACCGATGACAAGTATGTAAAACATTGTGGATGTATTAGGAATGTAGGCGCAGGAGCTTCGCTTCAGTGGGAGCTGCTCTGCGGGAACTCCGTGAGGAATACATCGCAGATTGACGCACGAACAGGAATACATCGCAGATTGACGCACGAACGAGCCGGGGTCGTGGGAGTGAGGGGGACGGCAGTGAGTGGCCCACGTGGGACGTGTCGATTGAGCCGTTCGGTTTGAAGAAGAAGAAGGAGGAGGAGGAGAGTCGCTCATGGGACGAGATCACCACTCGCGATTTTAAGCGAGCCGGCGGAGGCGGGGGTGGGGTGGAGAGCCGACGGACGGACGAATGAATAATTGAGACGCGCGCGCGTGTGTGTGTGTGCGTGTGTATGTGCGTGTGTGCGTGCGTGTGTGTGAGCGTGAGTGCGTGTGTACGTGTGTGTGTGCGTGTGTGGGGGTGTGTGTGCGTGAGTGTGTGTGTGCGTGAGTGTGTGTGTGTGCGTGTGTATGTGCGTGACAGCGTGTGCGTGCGTGTGTGCGTGTGTGTGTGCGTGAGTGCACGTGCATGTTCGTGCATGTGTGCGTGCATGCTCGTGCGTGTGTGCGTGAATGCATGCCTGTGTACGTGCGTGTGTGCGTGTGCGTGTGTGCGTGTATGCGTGTGTGTGTGTGTGCGTGTGTGTGTGTGCGTGTGTTGTGTGCGTGTGTGCGTGTGTGTGTGTGCGTGTGTGCGTGTATGCGTGTGTGTGTGTGTGTGCGTGTGTGTGTGTGCGTGTGTGCGTGTATGCGTGTGTGTGTGCGTGTGTGTGCGTGTGTGTGTGTGTGCGTGTGTGCGTTTATGCGTGTGTGTGTGTGTGCGTGTGTGCGTGTATGCGTGTGTGCGTGTGTGCGTGCGTGTGTGTGTGCGCGCGCACAGACGATAGCGAACTCGGGAATCCCGGCGAGCGCGCCCGACTGCACTTTGCCCCATCTCCCGCAATCAGCCGCTCGGCTGCCTCTACGCTTCCTCCTCCCCCCCCCCCCCCCGAGGCAACATTTTCCTGCCCCCTCACGAACAACAACAACACAGCGTTGTGGCTTTCTCTCGTCGGCGCAGTGGCAGCGAGCGAGAAGCGGGGGGTGTAGTGGAGGATCGTGGGGTGGAGGGTAGTGGGATAGAGGGTAGTGGAGGCTAGTGGGTGGAGTGGGTGTAGTGGAGGCTAGTGGGTGGAGTGGGTGTAGTGGAGGCTAGTGGGTGGAGTGGGTGTAGTGGAGGCTAGTGGGTGGAGTGGGTGGAGTGGAGGCTAGTGGGTGGAGTGGGTGTAGTGGAGGCTAGTGGGTGGAGTGGGTGTAGTGGAGGCTAGTGGGTGGAGTGGGTGTAGTGGAGGCTAGTGGGTGGAGTGGGTGTAGTGGAGGCTAGTGGGGTGGAGTGGGTGTAGTGGAGGCTAGTGGGGTGGAGTGGGTGTAGTGGAGGCTAGTGGGGTGGAGTGGGTGTAGTGGAGGCTAGTGGGGTGGAGTGGGTGGAGTGGAGGCTAGTGGGTGGAGTGGGTGTAGTGGAGGCTAGTGGGTGGAGTGGGTGTAGTGGAGGCTAGTGGGTGGAGTGGGTGTAGTGGAGGCTAGTGGGTGGAGTGGGTGTAGTGGAGGCTAGTGGGTGGAGTGGGTGTAGTGGAGGCTAGTGGGGTGGAGTGGGTGTAGTGGAGGCTAGTGGGGTGGAGTGGGTGGAGTGGAGGCTAGTGGGTGGAGTGGGTGGAGTGGAGGCTAGTGGGTGGAGTGGGTGTAGTGGAGGCTAGTGGGTGGAGTGGGTGTAGTGGAGGCTAGTGGGTGGAGTGGGTGTAGTGGAGGCTAGTGGGGTGGAGTGGGTGGAGTGGAGGCTAGTGGGTGGAGTGGGTGTAGTGGAGGCTAGTGGGGTGGAGGCTGAGCGATGGTTTCAAAAGGGACGCGGCGATCGACTGGAAGCCCCCTGGGTCCCGGCTGACGTTGCGGTGCCATCTCCACCCCCCCCCCCCCCCCCCCCCCGCAGGGATGAAGATGAACAAGGCGGTGCGGGTCGGGGTTGTGGCGCTGGTGCTCGTGTGCCTTTACAACGTCTTCCAAGTCACCACGTGGCTGGGAGCCTGGGCCGAAGGTGCGTGGCCGCGGCGGAATTCGTCGCGGTTGTCCATCGTCGTTAACGACCTCGCCTGGTGTGCGGGAGGTCGTGGGTTCGATCCCGACCTGACACCCGCTGCTGTACATTTTGAGATTGCGTGTCTCTCTCCCCGTGGTCGCGTGGATTTTTCTCAGGGTCCTCTGGTTTTGCCCTCCCAATTTCAGAGTGTTTGGCCGCTATAAACTTCCACGTAATGATGAGCCACTTCGTTGGGGCACGGGGTGGGTGGTGGGGCACGGGGTGGGTGGTGGGTGGTGGGGCACGGGGTGGGTGGTAGGCGCGGGGTGGGTGGTGGGGCACGGGGTGGGTGGTGGGTGGTGGGGCGCGGGGTGGGTGGTAGGCGCGGGGTGGGTGGTGGGGCACGGGGTGGGTGGTGGGTGGTGGGGCACGGGGTGGGTGGTAGGCACGGGGTGGGTGGTGGGGCACGGGGTGGGTGGTGGGTGGTAGGCACGGGGTGGGTGGTGGGGCACGGGGTGGGTGGTGGGTGGTGGGGCGCGGGGTGGGTGGTAGGCGCGGGGTGGGTGGTGGGGCGCGGGGTGGGTGGTGGGGCGCGGGGTGGGTGGTGGGGCGCGGGGTGGGTGGTGGGTGGTGGGGCGCGGGGTGGGTGGTAGGCGCGGGGTGGGTGGTGGGGCGCGGGGTGGGTGGTGGGGCGCGGGGTGGGTGGTGGGGCGCGGGGTGGGTGGTGGGGCGCGGGGTGGGTGGTGAGGCGCGGGGTGGGTGGTGGGTGGTGGGTGGTGGGGCACGGGGTGGGTGGTGGGGCACGGGTGGGTGGTGGGGCACGGGGTGGGTGGTGGGGCACGGGGTGGGTGGTGGGGCGCGGGTGGGGTGGTGGGTGGTGGGGCACGGGGTGGGTGGTAGGCACGGGGTGGGTGGTGGGGCACGGGGTGGGTGGTGGGTGGTAGGCACGGGGTGGGTGGTGGGGCACGGGGTGGGTGGTGGGTGGTGGGGCGCGGGGTGGGTGGTAGGCGCGGGGTGGGTGGTGGGGCGCGGGGTGGGTGGTGGGGCGCGGGGTGGGTGGTGGGGCGCGGGGTGGGTGGTGGGGCGCGGGGTGGGTGGTGAGGCGCGGGGTGGGTGGTGGGTGGTGGGTGGTGGGGCACGGGGTGGGTGGTGGGGCACGGGGTGGGTGGTGGGGCACGGGGTGGGTGGTGGGGCACGGGGTGGGTGGTGGGGCGCGGGGTGGGTGGTGGGGCGCGGGGTGGGTGGTGGGGCGCGGGGTGGGTGGTGGGGCACGGGGTGGGTGGTGGGGCGCGGGGTGGGTGGTGGGGCACGGGGTGGGTGGTGGGGCACGGGGTGGGTGGTGGGGCGCGGGGTGGGTGGTGGGGCGCGGGGTGGGTGGTGGGGCGCGGGGTGGGTGGTGGGTGGTGGGTGGTGGGGCACGGGGTGGGTGGTGGGGCACGGGGTGGGTGGTGGGGCACGGGGTGGGTGGTGGGGCACGGGGTGGGTGGTGAGGCGCGGGGTGGGTGGTGGGTGGTGGGTGGTGGGGCACGGGGTGGGTGGTGGGGCGCGGGGTGGGTGGTGAGGCGCGGGGTGGGTGGTGGGGCACGGGGTGAGTGGTGGGGCACGGGGTGGGTGGTGGGGTACGGGGTGGGTGATGGGGTACGTGAGGAGGCCACAATATCCGCGAGGGTGGTTCTCTGAAGCTCTCGCTCCAACGGTGGCTCGGACAGCAGTGGCGTGAGCGGAGCAATTGCAGCGCTGCGCCTCTGCCTCTTGGTGTACGCACGCTGACAGTGTGTAGCTGAGTTGAATGTGTGTGTAGGAACGCCAGGGGAGCGGTAGTGTCACGGTTAGTGCTATGCTGCGCTACGAACTTGGCGACGCAAGTTCGATTTCCGCTCACGGCCAACACCGGTGACGATTATCTGAACCGGTCCTGAGCCTCTCCTAGGTGGACTTAGCCTCAAATGAGTACTTGGTGCGGTGTGCAAACATCGCCACCGGGGAGACAAAGGCGGCCGGACGTGGTGCTGGCCACCCACCCCCTCGTGTGTCGTTCCGGCCTTCATAGGTGCTCGCTAACAGCACTTGCCGCAAAAGCCTGTTACAGGTTATACGGGGGATCTTTATCCTTGCATAACAACTTTCGTGTCTCGCAACGCATGCCACGGTGAATGTTGCGTTGTTGTTTTTAATTAACTAGAAGAAACACGACCCCCGAGAAGGTGTAAGCAGATGTTACAAACTGAGAGACGCGTGCTGATCTGACACAACAGAGCGCGGCCGTCAGAGGACAGTCCGCAGTGCCGCGTCTCGCGCTCCGCACGCGCTGCGCGGGGCGGGGCGGGGGGGGTCAACAAAGCGCTCGGTCGCGTTTCACTGTTTGTGCAGACGAGGCAAATGATGGGTTAACGCTTCGCCTCTAAAGTCACCGAGGCGGCGGCGATGTCGGTGGCGCGTTCGTCGTTAACTCGTTTATCACCGTAGGCGTTTGTCTGTCTGTGTTGATGCGCTTGCGTGTTGGCGCGGAGCGGTGGCGCGGCGGTTAGAGCCTCTGCGATACGAACTCCGGCGAGCCGAATTCGATTCACGCTCAATGCCGGCGACGATTACCTGAGCCGGTCCTAAGCCTAGGTCGACTGAGCCTGAAATGAGCACCTGGTGTGGGGTGTAAACATCGCCACTGGGGAGACAAAGGCGGTCGGGAGTGGTGCTGGCCACGCACCCCCTCGAGTGCCGTGCCGTGCATTCATCAGTGACACTGCGTGACCCTAAAAGGAGAAATATATAAAATGTGACGTTTCGGGGAATGGGCCTTCTTCCCGGCGCATACGGAGAGAGATGCCAGGGAGGTGGAGTGGACCGTTCGAGTTGGAGGCCTGTTGTTGTTTTTTTTGTGCACTTCTTCCGGCGCAGTATCTCCAAATCGTTGACTTTACAAAGGTCAGAGGTTGATGGATGATCTAGCAACTTGCGGAATTCGCTGCAGTCGCTCGCTCACCTGGGGGCATGGTCAGACGCCTCCTTGTCACTCTCCTGTCGCTACTACGACAGTGACTCTCCCCGTGCACTTCAATTACTCCGCCAGACTACTTCGTCTCATCCATACACTGTGTTAAACCACGTCACTCTGCGGGCCACAGAACACTCACCAACAACCCACTCACCCACTCACTCACCCACTCACCAACTCCCTCGCTCACCCACTCACTCACCAACTCCCTCGCCCACCCACTCACCCACTCACTCACCCACTCACCAACTCCCTCGCTCACCCACTCACTCACCAACTCCTTCGCCCACCCACTCACCCACTCACTCACCAACTCCCTCGCCCACCCACTCACCCACTCACCAACTCCCTCGCCCACCCACTCACCCACTCACCAGCTCCCTCGCCCACCCACTCACCCACCCACTCACCAACTCCCTCGCCCACTCACTCACCCACCCACCAACTCCCTCGCTCACCCACTCACCCACCCACCTGCCCACCCACTCATCACACTGCAGGTCACCTCACTCCTCTGTCTGCTTCTTCCCTCGCACTGCTCCACTCTGGAGTCAACTCCCATCATCATCGTCGTCATCATCATCGTCTCATTGCAATAACCTCGTTCACTTCAAGAAACGCGTAAACTCTCGAGTCTACTGCAACTTCAATAGTGCCGTTTGTTTCTGGCCGCTCGGCGTTTTGATCCTTCCAGTCTGCGCTCAGCAAACTTGAGATTTTATTTCGTCTGTTAAACCGACCACCTCAACCGCCGGCAAAGTCACTGAAGAGGACGGGGCTTAAGAGATGTGCTCAAACATGACAGCAGGTCGTCATGGAGACTGGCACCGCTGGCAAATCAATACAATAAATCTAACCCACTCCACCCTCCGAAGCTCCCTCGAACGTCCACAGGGCCAACGTCGGGCAGGAGATGGCGGTTGTTCTGAGGGAGGAACGCAAGCTGCAGGTTGTTGTCATCGTCGTCGTGAAGATGGTCACCCGTGTGGAGGGGGGCAGCGCGAGAGCGAGACTGTGCGCAGCAGGGCGATGGGGGGGGGGCTCAGGGATGGGACAGGTGGAGACCGGCAGCGTGGAGGACGGGGAGGGTGGTGAGAGACGAGAGACACGAGGCAGGGTCGGGCAAGTCCAAGCGTCGCCTGGCTTACAGTGGGCGACTAAGACCCCGTGACGTCGCTGGGAAAGCATCGTCGGCTATTGCGCGCCAATTCACTGACTTGCACCTGCCAACGACTCGGTGGGGATCACTGCGGCAGCCACTGCAGGCGCTTGCAGGATCTCTGCCGACCGTGGAGCCTCGCAGCGCCCTCACCGTCGTGGTGATAGCCTTGCACTGTGACAACAACAACGACAACGACAATAACAACGGCGTGAACACCAAGAGTACTAATGGATCTTATTGAGACGCAGTGGAAGCGCCTTACATATGAATGTAAATGATTATCATTGTTGCTGGATCCCTGTCCTGCCATTCCACGTGTGGAGGCGGCGTGGGGCAGGACAATCGCAACACGTGGTCTGGCGTCAAAATTCCTCCCCTCGGCGTCCGCGAAACTCCAGGTGACGTGGAGACGCCCACTGTGTATTGTGCTGTTAAACGGAATTTAGATGTATTATTTTCCGTCTCCCCAACATCGAACGTTTAATTACCATCGGCTAATTTTATCGTCACATTTTAATCCCAGTAATTTTCAACTTACAGTGCCTGGGAAAAGTGTTTGGCTGAGATTCACAGATGCAGCAGTTATGTAATACAGCAATAATATCCTCATGGGACCTTGCCTGCGAGTAATCAACAGGTTCCCTAAATTAAAACAAATTGCACCGATTAGCACGGCTGGCTACGCACGATGCGAAAGAATGCAACATACACACAACTACCGCATGGATGCTGCCGCGACAGTGGTTTAATGGTTGGTGCAGGGAGGGGGGTCGGTGGGCCCGCGACCCAGTGCTCGCTGGTTCCGCTCCATGTGCCTGATGCGGCAGTTGGAACTTCGGTGCAAGTTCGTTTAGTTCCACCGCT